GATGAATGCTACATCATTCGGCTTAATTGTGTTATTCCCAGCATAGTAAATCATACGATTTTCTGAATCAAAATGGCCAATACCAGTCCATTTCAGCTCACTAATGCACTCCATTTCATTTTTGACCACTTTCAATTTTCCTCAATTCGTACTTCACTCATTCCAAATTCCAACTACTAGAAGATTTTTTCAGCTGTTTCTCGTTGCCTGAGTCATGCGCCGTCAACCAATGAAGACCCCCACAGGCTCCACTCCCACAGGCTTCTCCAGATTCATGTCACCAGGTTGATTCCCCTGCAAGAAATCATCTCCTCTTCAGTCACCTTTCACCTAAAGTAGTGTTTGTTTTTAATTTATATCACTAAGTATATACAAGTGTGTAACGTGTGCTTCTGTTATGAGAATTATGTGGAATTCTGCTTCTGTAAAGTTTATAGCCTGGACACGCCTATGGAGCAGCTCTACCTGGCCTTATAGGGTGGCTGTGAGTTCGAATCAACTCAATGGCAGTGGGCTGTCCTTGGAACAGAAACCTCCTTTTTCCCAAAATTCTTTGAAACTCTTAAGTCTTATATAACATCATTCTAATAAAAGAAACACACAAACAGCTACCACCCTCCCTTCCCAGGGACTGCTCAGTCTAGATTGGAGCATGGAAGAAAAAAAACAAGAAAAAAGCCATTGGACTTATAAAAAGGAACTATGAAGGGTTCATGAGGGAGGGGGGAGTAGGGAGGGAGGGGGAAAATGAGCAACTGATATTAGGGGCTAGAGTGGGAGGCAAATGTTTTGAGAATGATGAGGGCAACAAACGTGCATGTATGGATTGTGATGAGAATTGTACGAACCCCCGATAAAATAATTATTTTAAAAAGGAATTCTCAATTATCTGAAAATATCACCTTCACCTTCTTCTTGTCATATATGGAACATATCAGCAAGTATGGACCATGCCAAAACCCTGTGGTACTCTCTTCTGTTTAGAACTCCAACAATAGGAATATCAAGCGGAGACCATACAGGCTGGTCTCCACACTCTGTCATAAAGTCTTTCCTGATTGCAAATACTAGAGATAGGGTTATGCCTAGTCAGTGTGTTTATTTGGTCTTTTTCAAAGAAGAGACGAGCTTACTTAGCTGTGTTGAGGTGCTTACATTCAGAGGAGACCAGATAATTCAATGATCTCTCATGTAACAGGAAGGGAGGAGACAGGGAAGCTCCACACCCCACCGTACACTATGAGCTTTTGTCTTCCAAAAGCTATGACTCACAGCATTTTGACCTTCCTATGTTCCTTCAATAAGATAACTATCTTTTTTTTTCTCATTTAAAAAAATCACTTAATTGGGGGCTCGTACAACTC